TTTTGTGTACAAATTTGAGTGAGTATGAGTGCATATACTATGTACATGTGTTTGTGTGTGTATGTATTTACATGTGTGTGCACCTCTGTATGTATGTACATTTGTGCTTTGTGTACATGTCTGTGTGAGTAGGAGTACATATGCTATGTGCATGTTTGTGTGTGTGTATGTATTTACATGTGTGTAACTCTGTATGTATGAACATTTATGTTTGAGCACATGTGCAATTATGAAATGTGCACATGTGTAGGTTTGTACATGTGCATATGTCTATGTGTTTGAGTATCAGTGCATGCATGTTTGAACTTGTGTGTATGCTTATGTGCAAATATGTGTGTGCGCATCTGTGCACATGTGTGGAAGTATGTATATGTATGCATGCATGTGTTTTAATGTGTACACATGTGTTTCTGTACATGAGTGTATGAGTGTATATATGTGTGCTTTCATGTATGTGTACACTTGTACATCTTTGTGTGTGTGTGTGTGTGATTGTGTGTATATTTGTGATATGTTTGTGTGTATATTTGTTTATTTGTATGCACAGATGTGTGCATGTGTTGTTGTGTGCAAGCATGTTTGTACATCTGTATTCTTTTGAGTGTAGGTGCACATACATGCTTATGCATGCATGAATGTATATGTGTATACTGTGTATTCTTGTGTTTTTGTGCACTGCACCTATTGTGTGTATGTAGGTATTTCTTTGTATGCATATACTTGTATCTTCATGTATGTATCACATGTTTCTATGTGCATGTGTACATATGGGTTTGTGTATAAGTATACATGTTTCTTTCTGTATGCACTTGTGTTTCTTGTGTATGCATGTGTTTTTGTATTTATATGCATATTTTCATGTTTGCATATGTATGTTTGTGTGTTTGTTTTTGTCCACACATACATGTGTATGCATTCATGTATGTGTGTGTGCATGTTTGGAATACTTCTGTTGGAAAATGGCACATTCCAATTGTGTCTGCATGTGTGTATGTGTGTATGTGTGTACATGTGCTGGGCTTCTTTTGGAAAATACCACTTTCCAATGATCTTTTCCACGGTATCCTAGCATGGTAGTTTCTTGGAAACCCAAACTTTCCTCCTCCTGCTCCCTGAGCTTAATTGATACCTCTTAACCTGTGTTAGTGTTATACTGCTGTGAACAGACACTATGACCAAAGCAAGTCTTATAAAGGACAACATTTAATTGAGGCTGATTTACAGGTTCAGAGATTAGTCCATCATCGATGTGGGTGCAAGGCAGCATTCAGGCAGGCATGGTGCAGGCAGAGCTGAGAGTTCTACATCTTCACCTGAAAGCTGCTAGTGGAAGACTGACTTCCAGGCAGCTAGGGTGAGGGTCATAAGCCCATGACACACCTACTCCAACAAGGCCACACTTCCTAATATTGCCACTCCCTGGGCCATGTGTATACAAACTGTTACAACCTGCTTCTTTCACAGCTGTCTGTCCTTGAGCACAGGGACACTAACTGTGGGCAGACAAGACTCACAACTGAAGCCTAAAACCCTAGTCACCGGAAGGCAATCCCATCTGCCTGTTGGGCCTTTGGCTCCACATCTCCTTCGGGAATCTTGCTAAAGCTTTCTTCTTTGCATCTTTAAAGGGGAGTGGATACTTGCTGTAAAAGATTGCCATGAGGGTGGTGGCAGAGCCTCCTGAGCCATTGAGCAGGGAGGCAGGCTAGTGATCAGTGTTTTCACAAGCCTGCCATAGAGGTAGCTTCGCCTCTGGGAAGCCACTACAGTGAGCTCTCACTGGAGCAAGGCGTTTGTTCTTTCTCTGTGAATAAAGGGCTTCAGAACATAGTGTTTGAGTGTCCTTCTTCATATTTGAACCCCAGCGTTCTCCGTGCTGATTTCTGTAGATTGAAGCTCTCAAAGCTGTTGGGGGGAAGAGTACTGATGTATCCCATCCTCTTCTGATACTCAGGAGGGACTGTATATTAGGGTTCTCTAGAGTTACATACAGTTTGTGGGACAAATCTCTCTCTCCCTCTCCCTCTCCCTCTCCCTCTCCCTCTCCCTCTCTCTCTCTACACACACACACACACACACACACACACACACTTTATTGAAATGACGTACAGACTGCAGTCTAGCTAATCCAATAATAGCTAGCTGTGAGTGGAAAGTCCAGGAATCCAGGAGTTGCTCAGTCCCACAAGGCTGGGCATCTCAGCTGCTCTTCTGTAAGTGCTGGAATCCCGAAGACGTATGCTCCAACGCTAGTGAAGGAATGGGGACGTGCTAGCAAGGACAGGGCAAGCAGGGAAGGAGCAAACAACCCCTCCTTTCTAACACAGCCTTATCTAGGCTTCCAGCGGAAGGGGTGGCCCAGATGAAAGGTGTGTCTTCACACCTTGGGATCTGGATCAAAAGCCCACAGCTCCTGCCTCAAGCTCCAGACCACCTTATGCCCTCCATTTCTGAGCTGTAGTTCATTCCAGATGCGGTCAAGCTGACAACCATCAATAGCCACCACAGACTGGTTGGCAGTGACTTGTTTTAAATTTTGAGACAAGGTTTCTATCTCAGTCTGGCTTTAAGCTCACTATATAGTTGAGGATGACCTTAAACTTCTAATTCCCCCTTTTCCCGAGTGCCAGGAGTCAGAAGTTTATGTGGGTTAGTAGATCGAACCCTGGGCCTAGGGCACACTAGACTTTTAAAAAATAATTTGTTTTTATTTTATGTGCATTGTTGTTTTGCCTGCATGTATGTCTGTGTGAGCTTGTCAGATATTGGGCTTACAGACAGTTATGAGCTGCCATGTGGTTGCTGGGAATTGAACCCAGGTCCTCTGGAAGAACAGTTACCTTAACCACTGAACCATTTCTCCATCCCTAGACAAACATTCTATCAACCGAGTTCTATCCCAAGCCCACGGAGGCCATTTTTAAAGCCCAGGGCTCCCGTCCCAGAATTAAGAATAATTATTTGTGAAAAATGGATCAGGTGACAATCATTTACACAGAAGTAAACCCACCAAAGCAGGCTTCCCAGCTTAGCTGAAGGGTTAGAAGACTGGACTGTGTGTGTGTGTGTATGTATGCATATATATATGTGTGTGTGTATACATGTATGTGTATCTTCACGCATGCGTGTATATGTATGTATGTGTGTTCGTCTGTGTGTGTATATATGCATGTTTGTATGCATATGTGTGTTCATGCATTTGTGTGTGTATGTGTGTTCACATGTGTATGTATATGTGCATGTTTGTATGTGTGTGTTCATGCATGTGTGTATATGTATGTGTGTGTGTTCGTCTGTGTGTGTATGTGCGCATGTTGGTGTAGTGTGTGTGTGTGAATGTGGAAACCCAAAAATGACATCAGATACAATTCTTGATTGCTCCCCATTTTATTGAGGTAGGGTTACACACTGGTTACAGGGGCTCCCACTGAATGTAGACTCACTGATTCTAGGTAGCCAGACTGTCAAGCTTCACATTTCTGCATAATTCTGGGATTGTGGCACACCTGCTCGACTTTTTATATGAATGCTGATGACCCAAACTCTAGGCCTCACATTCCTTCAGCAAGCATTTTACACATACAACTCCTTTCCTAGCCTGAGACTGGACCTCTCATAACTCAGTACACAGTATCTGAAACTTCAGTTACTCAGTATGATGACTGTGCTAGCATCTCCTGCTAGTTGTGTGGGTAAATACTGTTTATACTGAGAACACAGGCTGGGCTTTAGATAATTGATAAGAGATAATAAATTTAAAATGTGGCTGAAAAGAGAGCTCAGCAGTTAAGGATGTAGACTGTTCTTGTATTGGACGCTCATGTCGGGCAGCTCAACTGCTTGCAATTCCAGCTATGGTGGATCTGATGCCTCTGGGCCGCAAAGGCCATATACTCATGTGCACA